TGTATATATAAATTCTGTTATATATATATATATAGCAGAATTTATATATGTATATCTTATCAACTAGTAATGCTCTAATACTCGTGGCAAACCTCACCGTTGCTCAACAGTTTTTATATCAACAATTTAGATTAATGCAAACAATGGCAGCGCTGCATTAGATTTAACCATCGCAATTATTAAAACGTGCGCACGTAAGCGTGTAATATATTGTAATAATTGCTAATACATTGTAGAAAGCCAACTCGCTCGAGGGCCTGGCGTAATGTACTCTGGCGCAATGTTAACATTGTTGCGTATATATTCCGCTTATTAAGTTATTCCGTTATTATTCTTGTGGTAATTGTAGCTAACGCAGTGTTTATGATTCAGCGATTGCGTGCTACAAGGAGACCGATCCAAGCACGCTCCAAAGATATGTGTAACGTCTTGCTCTTTGTAAAATTATGTATCTTTTCTTGATCGTAACTGAAATGATAAGATTCCACGTAGTTTTTCTGAGACGAGATACTTGATATTTATGACCGCCGTTTAAATACCGTAGATGACGCCAGTCTTTATATATCGTTCATATCGCACATTCCTTCCATTCGTAGCATCTTTAATAAATTTGGAATTAATGCAATTCCAATAAAAACTTGGCACGCGTCTTCCTTTCACATTGTTTTGAACTTTCTAAATATTTATTTCTTTTATTTTCTAGTCATATAAATTTTCTCTGTCGAACAGATAATTTTACTGAATTTTCCAAAAACGCATAAAAGGATCATCCCTTCTTTTTTGTATTTTTCTGTTCTCTTCCTTTTTCTTTCTCTGTTTCATCTTCTTCTTCGTCTATCGTTACTTTTCCGATCGTATCCAAAGGGCATAAGTTTATTTGACTCGGCCCCAAATTCGGCAGTACGAACGAATGTATAAGGAGAGCAATAATTTTCTGGGGTGACCTCTCTCTCTTTCTCTCTCTCTCTCTCTCTCTCTCTACTACAAGGGCGCGGGGCACGGTATGGCTGGCACTCGATCGTGCTGGGGGTCATTTTATGGGATCTGGCACGGATCAGACGCACGAATCTATCCTCCGGTATATTCCGGTTTTTCCGAATGCTGTCTTTCTCTTTCCGATATATTTTCCCTTTCCCTCTCTCTCTTTTCGTATCTCTAGTCCTGTTCAGGGATATAAAATCCACCCCCGACTAGCTGAATAAATATATATGGCCTTATTAGCCCCGCTTGGCGTCGATCAAGCGGCACGCCCTGCCGGCGCTTCTTTACCGCTTGCATGATGAAAATGTTTCGGGTGACGTCATGCGACAATTTCTTTACAGCTCGCTATAGTCTCAACAAGTAAAATATTAATTTCTATCTATAATTTACGTCTTTAAAAAAATTGATAAAGTAATATTTTAAATATTTATAAATGTGTATTATGTTTCGTATAAAATTTACGTAATCCTAAAATATTTTAATTTTCGCTAATCACACGTATCGGAATCGCTTCTTACGCGGCCACTCTCAATAAGATAAATCTGACGTTTTCCATTCATGTTCTTCGGTCCTGCGGGTTTTGTCAAGCCCGCGCGGAAACAATCGCAGAATCGGACGTAAGAAGGGACGTGGAGGAGACGAGGAGCGACAGGGAGAGTCCTGCGGGACTGATTTCACAAACAAATGCCGCCGATTGAATCCTGGCATGTTGCAAGATGGATCGTTCTCTTTGAATCACAGATTACCGGCCGTCTCTGCCTTCCATCTCGCTTCGCGTCGTATCGTTCCTTCGTACGTCGTCCTCTCCTCCGTTTCGTCCTTCCCGCTGGTCATCTCGCCACTTCGTCCTTCGCGGAGGCGCCTCCACCTCCGTGATCGGTTCCCTTCCAACAGGCAGCTCGGCAATTTGCCACATGCCTACGCAGCTGCGACTCTCTCTCTCTCTCTCTCTCTTTCTCTTTTTCTCCATCTCGCTCTTTCGTTACTGACATCTCGAATCTTGCGTCAACTACGACTGAATTGGGCGGAATCGCAAGATATCGCGGAATCAATGGATTACAAAAGACATTCGCGTCGATCAGAGTCGATATGTTAAAAAAAAATAACATTTGATGCAACTAAAGATTAAATCGAATATATCTGCATTATCAAATATACTTATATTACATACGTCAATTGAAATGGATCAGCGATAATTTGTAAATAATTTTATTGATCGTTGATGAATATTCGATGCAACTGATTATTTAATCGAATTATTGAATATGGCCATTATATGTATATATTAATAATGGCGAGTAGAGAGACGTATTGAAAAGACAAACGGAGCATCACTAATTCGATCGAAATCGCGCGAAAGACGGCGCTTCGGGAGCGTCGGGCACAATCGAAGAACGTTTCCGCCCGCTTTCGGTTCAAAATAATTCGATGAAGAGGAAAAGAGCGCTGCCGCAAGCGAAATGAACTGTAAAGCGGAATGCTCGGATTGTAGAGTCGTCTCCGTGGAGCTGCATGAACTGCGATCGACGGAAAAAAAGAGGAAAAGAGAGAGAAAGAGAGAGAGAGAGAGAAGCGAGGGAAACGACCCTCGTCTCTCCGAGACTTTTCGACGCTTTCTCTCTGGGACGATCTTTAAATTAAGTGCGTCAGCTTATGACGCCCATGTAAAATCTTGCAGGGTGGATTTTCGATTCGCGTGCACTAGTCGAGAGGAAGGACTTCTGAAATGCGTAGCGAATGCGCGTTGCCGGCGGGGACCCCGAGGGTGAAATGAATCAAGCCCACCCTCACCATGCAGGACATACATTAGGCTGACACCGGACTTACCATTCGGAATGCTGACGATTTCTTATGTCAGGGGACGAAAAGGAATAAGAGTATGTCTCTAGAAAATTGAGGAAATATTTCGTGGATACGAGCAGAAAGGGTTCTTTTTTTTGTCATAATCGTTAAGTTTCAATATATTTCCGATTTTCTATAAATATAACAATAATGTACTTTCTAAATTAAATATATGAATTATATTTCACGATCTTTCACGAATTTAGCAAAAGAAATGATTTTTTCTTAAAGAGAACAACTTCAGCCTTTTTCTAAATTTGCTATATAATTTCGCAATAAATGTTATTTTAAAATCGGATATTTTGACCGAAACTTGATGGAATCTACAATTCTTCTAAAACTATTGAATCATTGAAGCCAAATGAAATGTTATTGTATATCGGTCACTATCAAAACAACGAAAAAATATATGCTTTGACATCCGTCGAATACGGCTATAAAAAAAATGACTGGGAAATATTCTGCACCAACGACGAGACGTACAAATTCCTGGTGGATTCATAAAAATGTACTTTAGCTACCCCTGTAAAAAATAACAGGAGAGTCGGGGCGCACCATAAGAGCGTGAGAGTGCGCTATGTTAAAAAATCATGAGGGTACCACATCTTGCTCATCTCATCCCCCTCTGAAATTACATAAATTCGATCATTTTTTTCCCGAAAGGCATCATAATTCGTCAAGTCGTGCAAATAATTCCGAATAGTATACGCGTCGTCTCCTTTTGAACGTACATGAATATATACATAATTCGAATAACTCGACAGAAAATTTCAAAAGTAATTTCGGAAAATAGGAACGAATGTTTGTCCATTTCCCGCGAATGTGCCCACGACGAATAAGAGACTAAGATTCACGACGAACGTAAGAGTGCGAAAGGTTATGG